GCTGTTCGTACTTTTTGATCACATTAGTGGTGGCCACCAATCACAAGAATGGATCTCAAGCTACTCGGTTGATCTTCCGACCAGCCCGTATATAGGAACCAAGGGAAAAGAACACCCACCAAGTTCTAACAAGTAGCCAGGCTGTGAATTTCAAGTCAGTTTGCATGGTTTTAAGACCGACCCAGTCAGGGGTTCGGTTATCGGGTCAAACAGTCTGACTGTTCAAACTTAATGGTTGGCTCATTTTAACAAAAAAAAAAGTTAAAAAAGAAATAAAAAAAAAATAAAAACCAGTCAAAACCATTCGAATGGTTCAAATGGTTAATTGTACGGATCAACGGTTTATTAACTAAAATCAACGATTTTTATGAAAAATCCAGTTTTGAGAAGAACTGAAACCAGTCGCCTGACCGATTCCCAGTTTTTCCGGTCCAACCGCTCAATCGGGTCCGATTTTGAAAACCATGTCAGTTTGTGTAAAGCGCCTTCTAATAGAGAATTTACTGTCTTTTTCCTCTCATGGGTTGTGTAATGCTTACAGCATAAATTCTAATTGGGTCAAGTAGGAATCTGAATTTGCTCTTCACAAAGCACATCTCATCAATCAACCTTGTATCGCTTTTAAGTGTCCATTAAAAATATCTTTTGTACTTTATATTATCATTTATGAGAAGATATTTTCAATGTGAGTCGCACTATGTGAGCATCAAATTTGAATTTGTCTAAGTAGAGATATTTTCTGCATGAATTGTTATTTTTCTGCCACGTTGAGGCATAGTATGGTCAATCTAAACCGTCCATTTATTATAATTAATTCTTGATTTTGGCCAATTCATTACTCTTTCTGCATGAATTAGCACTTAGGTACATTTGCATTTATGTAGCATAGAATAAATAAATAAAGAATGATAAGTTTACATATGGATATTACACATAAATCCCACAAATGCATCAACAACAGTAAGTCTAAGGCTTAAATGACCACAAACAAAGTATAAATACATAACTTTAACTAAAGAAAAAGTATAAATATATGATAGAAATACATATTTTAATAGTTTGTATGACGTGAGAATTACTTCTTTAGTTTTTTTTTTCTTTGCTGCAAGAATTATTTGATTAGTTGATTAATTTTAAAACATGAAGAATGAATTAAAATATGCATGGATATATTGAGGAAATTAATACAAATCTTATTATTATTAATATATTTAAATATACAAATTTTAATGATCAATTGAAATTGTGTTTCTTATTTGGGTAAAGCTATGATGTCGGACAGGTATGATACTAGAAGTGCTTTTGACCAATCAAAACCCTCCGTGAATTTTAATGAATAATACCTGATTGGTTCACTTTTATGATATTCATTGATTGGTTACCAGTTTTTTTTTTTCATAGTTGAACCCTTTTTATTTTTTGCTTTTTTTATTTTTAGTTGATGTAAGAATTTTTCTAGTATAATATTCAAACCCTTTTTTGTTTTTTTTTTTCGATTTTTAGTTGATATAGCACTACAATATCAACAATTTTGGTCCATATATATTATACGTTGCGATACACACCCAATATACTGAAATTAGGCTATTCCTTCCATGCCCCATGCATGTATATTCCAAAACCGGTCAGTAGGCACTGGTTGATACATTACATCAAATCTTGCCCACAGGAAAAATATATGGAGCATATATACCCAGCTTGGACTCCATGACAAAGATGATAAGGATTACGCCAATCAACCCTATTTGGCAGGTACCCGCCCTACCTGACTCAATGGAGCACTTTTTTCTTCTCTCTCTGTTTTTTATATGAATTTTGGGACGGGGATGGGTTTTGGGATTTCAGAATCCAAGGATAGGTTACCTTATTACGACAACTCTGAGCCTGCTGAATATGTATATTGAATTTACTAAATCCTTAGTATTTAAGATTAAATTACCGATATGCCAAGGGATATATACCTTTTAAATTAGAAATCCTAAGCTTTTCTCATCCCTTATGTGAAGGGTTATTGATAATTTGTGTTTTCTACATGCTCCAATCAAATAATTGGAAATTTTGGTGTTTGTACATATTATTTTGTTGGTTTATTATTTTATTATTTATATATAATAGGAAATTAGATGCGAATTTTAAACTTGACTCACTAACCTGACTTACCCCACCCTCAAATGTAAGGAGAGTAGGGTTGGAGAGGTTTTGGTGAAGGTATGAGTTTAGGAGGTTTAAGAAGGGGACGAGGGTCTACAATTTACAAAACCCTCCCAAAACCTAATCCCACTGCCATCCCTATAATGTGTAATATATAAATATATAACACCAAATGAGAAAAAAAAAAGAATGTTGCATTTTACTTAACTATGGCTCCATTGGCTCCATTTGAATAAACCTTTACTTTTGAGTTTTGGGACGTGGGAAATAAAATTGAACCAAAAAAGTGTTATGAGTGTTTGCAAGAATTTATTCTAAAAGCCTTATAATATGAAATCAAAACTTTTTTAAACCCAAAGAATAAAGCCTAAAATTGGGGCTAGGGTTTTATGCTTGTAGACTTTAGGTTGCATTTGGTTGAAGTGTAAATTTCATTTGCACTGGTGTAAATGAATGGAAGTGCAAATACGTTGAGTGTAAATTCAAGCTTGTTTTTATATTTTACAAAGTAAAATATAAATTAAAATGGTGTGGACTCACCCTTAATGCAAGAAAATGGAGGTAGGAGGAAGGCTATTTGTTTGGCAGTAGGGTAAGAAGCAAGATGATATGGTCCCCATTTTATACAAGAGAGAATTAAGGTAAAAGGAAGGTGGTGCAAATTTTACATTAACTTTTGAAATATGAAATTTGCACTGTTAGTAAGCACAATGAGATAAAAAGTACAAATTTTGTATTAAGTAGAAGTGCAAATTATAGTTAAAACAAATACATAAAAAATTGAACCATATGCAAAATTTGCATCTAGTTTAGATTTCCATCACAAACAAATCGAGCCTTAAAAATACAAATCCTGGAAAATTGTCCAAATAGGCAAATGCAACCTAGATTAGCCTTACTCTATGGATAGAACAGTCGCATTCCTTGGCAGTGGAAATTCTAAATCCAACTCAATATCTAATTACAACACCCCATCTCATACCCTTAACTGGATCATTACCCCTATACCCTATTCATCCACTCTACATTAATTCACATCCCGTGTGTAGGGATGCTCATAATTTGGTTAATTGAACCATGGGCTAATTTTTGAAATTGAATTGGGGTTATTGGTTTTTGAAAAACTGGTAATCGAAATCGAACCAAAGCCGATCGGTTAACCGGTTGATTGGTTTGGTTAACCGTTGATTTTTTGGTTTTTTATTATTTACAATATTTATTATAAAAATATATATAAATATAATAAAATACTAGAAATATATATAATATTATATTTTAAATAATAAATAATATACTATATATTATAAATAAATAAATATTTATATATATAATGCATATTTATTAATTTATAATGTATAGAAAATATAATATATATATATATATATATATATATATATATATAATACATATATATATACCAATTAATTCGACTAACTGTCGGTTTTTTATTTTGATTAACCGAAACCGAATCGATACCTTTGGTTTTTTTTTTTAAATATTAAACTGAAATCGAACTGACCAATTTAATTAACCAAATTTTTGGTTCGGTTTTTCAAATTTTTTTGCTCACCCCTACCTATCTGCTTGATAAGGTTGCTTTCTCCAAAAGAGAAAGAAAGATAGAAAAGCCATGGTCTTTGGAGGCTTGAACCTTTTGACTTTAAATAAATGGACCTTCACCATATAGACCATCACATGCAGTCATTGGCTTATGTTTGGTTTGATAGAAAATAAGAGATTCCCTCCAATTTCTGTTCCCCTCTCATTCTCTATCGAATCAAATGCAAAAAGAAAAAAAACTCATGGCACAATTAATTGATGTTTACTCAACGTAAGAAAGTACTTTCAATTTTTCACATGGATGTTAAAATCACCTCAACCAACATTCCAATTTTTCAATAGGAGATGTAGCCTTGTCATCTGCCATGAAAAATGGATCGTACTTCCTTCGAGTTAAAATTTCTTCCCAACAATAAAACTATTCCAAGATATTCGAACATGATCTGCATCCATCCGCACATCTCATATACGGTGGGTCTTATTTCATGGTGGGTCCTAATCTTATGGAAAGATGTGGGAATACGGATCATGTTGGAACGGTTTTTTTTTGTTGGAGGAGATTTGAAGGAGCTATTTATTTTTTATTATTTTTCAATTTATTAATGATATGCTCTACTCCTATCGTTATCTGATGCGAAATAACACCAATATACCATGCCCCACTCTGAATTGACAAGGTTTTCTAACCTTCCAACTGTAACTCTCCCCTCCCTTATTCCAATCCAATGGTAAACAGCTAATTTCAGAATAGTAGCTGACCTGCTAATTTCAGAATAGTCGGTGATGCTAACAGAAGCATCAACTACAGAGGATGGTTGGCAAGTCAGCTGTGTACAGCAATGCATAGATCTCCTCATGGAGAGACTGAATCCACTAACCCTTCGGCCAACTTACACTAAGCCGGCAAAGACACATGAGCTTCTTCTGTTAGCGGAATTATCGGTAATCTAGTAATTACTGAACCCTAGACCCTAGAGAACTAGATTAACTTACCTGGTAATTGCAGAATTGTCGACAACAAGAATTCAATCAGTTCGATCTTTATATATATTGATCACGCACTCACACCAAAAAACAAAATAAGGAAAAGAAAAAGACGAAGAACTGAAGAAGATCGAAATAGAGAGGATCAGATTTGAATGCTTCTAATCTTTAATATAATCATCATTCCAGTCAAGAACAGATCCGAACAGCAATTATTAATAGGTAGAGAGATTAAAAGAGCGGAAGAAAGGAATGAAGACGAAGAAAGCAAAATGCATGGGAGAAGAAAAGAAGGCGATTCGCACCTTTGAGCTTGAGTTTTTGAATTGGAGTTTTGTTTCTACTCTCTTGCTTTGCCTGTGGAAGCTAGGAAAGCTACCTGTGAAAAGAAGAGAAGGAAGACTGAAGGATCACTCAGTAGCGAGTAGCCGAGTACAAAGTCGTCGTCGTTCTGGTATGAAGTATGAAGTACTTGAATCCTCTGCTTGAGAAAGGCTCACAGAGCAACTTACTACTGCGCGTCTGCGCTAAGAATTCTGGTCCATTATTCCATTTATATCTGTGATCAGAATATGGCATCCAACTCGGCTGCGCCACGTGGGCTCCCCGATAGCACCCTCTGTTTATGAATTTCAATTACGAAATCACCCCTATATCTGCATGCAATTACCAGACTTCCCGCTTACTTCCATTAATTACTCTTGAGACGGCAGTATTTAGAGGGCTGAAACTTGAAAGTGATAAAATCCATTCGGACAATATTCTTATAGCGCATGAAATATAAAACATAATGAAAAAATTGTGCGGACGGCCTGGCCTGTAACATAGACATGGAATAGGCGTATGATAAGTGATGGTGCGCGATATGAAAGCTTGTTAGAGGAGCTCGGATGCCGGATTATGTAGATCGTTTGGCTGAGTTGTAAAAGAGGAGGATTAGAGTATTTGGGCTACTTTATTTATTGTAGGTATTCCGATGCTTAAATCAGTGAATTAGAGTTTTTTGAGAGTTAGAGAAGTGCTAAATTGTGTGAATCTTATGAGGTTAGAGGTGAGACCCTTATATAGACGAGCTACCGTGAGTCTCACAAAATGCGTTTGGGATCTTTGGCTCATTTGGTTCGGAGATGGTTTTACACTTGAAAGTGGGCTCTGTGTAAGCAGGTAATGTTTATCCAATCCCACCCGAAGAGGGCAGGGTGATAACGAATTCTTCCTACGTGGCATTGTGATCTTGGGGAATTCGAAGGCGATAGCCCGCTTAAGGGGGAGGTCACTCGGCACGTCAAGTAGGTCGCTAATCGAAAACATGTCAAATCAGTGGAAGCAAGTCGCCTCTTACGCCGACTTGAGGTCTTTACTAGTTGTTCGCAGTTTGGCCTATCGGGGTGGTGCCGAGGTATAATTCTACTATTCTGAAATGCCATGTGTCATCATATCATTGGAGGACCAAATTACCCCTCATCAATTGCCCTCCACTCCCAAGTCCAATGTGATCAGTCCGATGAGGGAGTAGTCTTAATCCAAGGTGATTTGGTCTGACTTTCGTCCTTGTTTGTGGTTTGACCAATGGCTTGGGATCGGGTTGGCTTAGTCAATCTGGCCAAGGCACAAGGTAGCGTACCGGGGATCCGCGAACGCCACACAACCATTAGGTTACGTGGATGTCAAAAACACGCTAAACTGATTTTTCCTCGGAATTCGAACCGCTGGATCCAACTGATCTCAATTGTCCATAGTTCAGTTCATCCGTCTATAAATAGGAGCATCGGGGGCTCATTTTTCTCATCCCTATCTTTGGAGTTCTGGTGAAATCGCAGAGTTTGGCATTGTCGGAGTTGTCTGTGAGTTCAGTTTACTCATCCTAGGTGAGTCATCTCCCTTAGTTCTACTTTATTCATAATGTCTGATAGTGAGTCCGGGGAAGAGAGGGGTCCATCCTTCTAGGCCAAGGAAGGGATCTCAGATCAAGACCGACAAGGTTCTCATAAGAGGGCCTCGTCTTCCCGTAGGGCTATAGCACCGGACCAATTCGGTCCCATTGAGCTCTCTGTCGAGAACGTCTACGAGCTCGCAACTCAATATAGGCTTCTGGATTAGTTTAGATATTCCCTTTCCCTTTGGTAGTACCCGTGGGAGCACGAGGAAGGCTAGGTCGCTGTCTTCGAGAAGGCACTGAAAGTGGGTCTTCGGTTTCCCCTTCATCCACTTATTCTTGAGGTGTTGAACTAATATAACATTAGTGTTCAGGTCATGGTTGAACTAGCCTTAGACGACACATGGCCGCCCAATCATCGCTCGACCACCTCGGCCATGTCAGCAAGGCCCAGCTAGCTCCGCGACATACACTGACTCTGCGGCCATGACCATGCTACGCTATTACTGTAGCCCCCCATCTTATCCTCTCAGCCATGTCAGCTACACGCCACGCAAATAAGCACGACCAAGGATAGGAGGAGGGATGAGGACAACTCTGTTGGGGAATAGGACTCTATCCCAAAGACCTTGGCGGTTAACCTCATCTCGACAACCCCGGAAGCCCAATCCACTAGGATACGGATCTCCAGTTATAAAAAGGTACCTTCTGCTCAAGGGATTCCAACTTTTAGCATCCATACTGTTACTCTGCTCGGACCAACACCCTTATTTCTTGGCCTGACCATTCACCACCTTCTACTGACTTGAGCGTCGGAGTATCAACCCGGGGATAACTCCTTGGACCTCTAACATCCTTTCTTGATCACAGGTCTTGAAGCATGGCTCCATCCTTTCACCTCGGCTCCGCCCTGTTTGAAGGACTATTTGACTACCTTCCTCGGTTCGTACACCACCTCAGATCAAGTAGCATCAGATTGGCGCCACTTGTGGGAAACACACAAAAAGCCTTTCTTGAAATCTTTCTCCCTTATCGCGCAACCAAGAAAGTGATCAAGATGCCTAAGAATCAGTTTGATCCCCATATCGGGAATCTCATCGTCGTAGCCCTCCACACCAAGAAACCCTACAGCCTCCAGTCGTGGTTGACCCTGCGTAGTTTTGGGCAATGCAAGAGAAGGTCGACAAGATGTTTGAGATGATGCAAACGCTAGGGTCCGCGGCACCGCCTAATTAGGCCATCCCCCCTCATGCCCCGACGCGCACAAAGGACGGTCCTTACCCCAAGGGCCCTAAAACGTGCCGGCTAGACAAGAAAGAAGTGTGGTTCCATCAAGAAAAGCAAGACATGGCAAAGAAGTCTGTCTCCTCAGCCTACTCTCACGAACCCAACAACCGCAATAGGACACATCAAACTACGCAGATCCCCGCTAAAGAGAGGCTCGGCAAGCGGACACCACTCCGTGTGGTCTTCGTTGTTGAGTCCAGTTCGGTAAAAGACCGCTCTGCATGGCCCAAGAAGGAGAGAGCCATGCGTACCGCAGTCTCGTACAATAGGGACGCCGAGATTCGAGAACTTCGACAACGCTTAGAGGAGTTGGAGCGCAGCCAAGTACATAGAAGCATGGTACCGCCTGTAGATCAGCCCGTGCAACCAACTACACAAACTTTTAAAGAGCCACCCTTTGTCCAAGAGTTCGTAGACGAGGTGCCTCCTACAGGATGGTGGGAACCTCAACTTGACAAATACGACAGGAATACCGACCCCACCGACCATGTCGAAGCATTGAAGGCTCAATTGATGTTGCATGGATCTTCCGAGGACCTGATGTGCAAAGCTCTTGTGGCCACCCTCACGGGCCCAACCCAACTTGGTATTCCTCTCTACCTCCGTGCTCCATAACATCATGGGAGAAGTTGGAGACCCAGTTCCGAGTACAATTCACAGCAAGCCAAAAGCACTAAAAGACTTTGGCTAGCCTCATGCAAGTGTGACAGAGGAAGACAGAATCTCTCAGAGACTACTTACCGTCATTCAGCACGGGCTCCGCCCCTCGCCTTTCAACTTCTCCAGCTCCAAGAACTCTCTACAGACGCTAGTCGCATTGATGAGGCATGCATAAAGTACATCAATGCAAAAGAAGCCCAGGCGTAGCTACAGGACAAAGAAGAAAGGCCCAACAAGAAGAGGAGAGACATAGAGGAGCGGAAGTCAAAGAGATCAGATCAGGACCATAAGAGGCAGGACCGTCGGCCTGATCGCAGACCACCAACACCTTCGCCGACCTATTGGAACTTCACATCGCTGAACACACTGTGGTCTGAAGTTCTGATGCAAATCCGTGACCGCAACTATGTCTGATGGCCCGAAAAGATGAAAACATAGGACAACAAGAGGAATTGCAACAAATATTGTGAGTTCCACAGGGACCACGACCACGACACTTACAATTGCTTTGACCTCCGCAACCATATCGAGGACCTAATCAGGCGTGGGTACCTTGTCGGATTCATCGACAAAAACGAAAAGCCAACATAGGAAAAACTACATGCAGAAAATGCTCGACCACCACCCTGAGCTCCTCCTGTCGGCGTGATCCATGTGATATCCTGGGCGATCGCCACAGAAAGAGAGAGCAGCTCGGAATGCAAGAAATATGCGTGACTATGTGAGATTGACAACCAGGGACACAAAAAGAGGTATGACCAACCAATCACCTTCACCGACAATGACCTCTGGGGAGTCCAGACCCCTCACGACGATGCTCTAGTGATCACAGCCGAGGTTGCCAACTTCGAAGTGCGGCACATCTTAGTTGACATTGGAAGCTCCACCAATGTCCTCTTCGAAGAAGCCTTTGAAAAGCTCAGCATTGACAAAGACCGCATCACCCCCATCAATACTCCCCTGATGGGCTTCTCTGGGGAGTCCCTTTTGCCAACTGGGAGGATAACCCTCCCTTATGATCGGAGATGGTGACGTTACTGCACCATGGTGGATTTCATCGTAGTCCGCTACCCCTCATCATACAACGCCATCCTCGGCATACCAACGTTCAATACTCTACAGGCCATGATTTCCACATTCCACCTCGCTATGAAATTCTCGATCGAATATGGTATAGGGGTAGCACGTGGAGACCAAAGAACTGCATGGAAATGTTACTTGTTTCCAATTTAGGACCGCGCCCGGCTACGGAAACACTGATGGCTGAAGTCTATGATCTACGGGATGAGGTGATGACACAACGCGACCAACCTGTTGATGACCTCATCCAGGTGCCGCTCATTGAGGAAGACCTTAAGAGGACGGTCTGAGTTGGCTCTCTCTTGGACAATCATCTCCAAGAGGAACTAGTGCAGCTATTAAGGGATCACGCCAACGTGTTTGCTTAGTCGGCAGCAGATATGCCAGGGATTGACCCCAAGGTCATCACACACCGCCTGAACACCGACCCTCGCTACTAACCTATCAAGCAGAAGAAGAGAAGCTTCACTTCAGAGTGGTGACAAGTGATCGCCGATGAGGTGCAGAAATTGCGCGACGCCGGTTTCATTCGGGAAGTAAAATACCCCGAATAGATAACCATTGTGGTGATGGTGAAGAAGGCCAATGGGAAGTGGAGAATATGTATCGA